CTAATTGAGGTTCCCTTCTTCAACTGGAAACAATAAAGTCTCCTCTTCAAATGCAAGTGGTTCTTAACACTCTTTGTCAGATACTTGCTTTCGAGAATCTCCCAAATCTTCTTCGCAGAAGTCTCATTCATCACATCATATTTTAGATCTTGACTCAAACAAGATCTAATCACACCACACGGCGTTCGACTCATCTTCTTCCAAACCTTCTCTTCAATGTCATCTGGCTTGCCATCTAACTCCAAGGTATCCTTCAAATTCTACGCGTTCAGTGCATCCAAAACCTCGCATCTCCATAATCCAAAATTGTTTGTGCCATTAAACTTCTCCACATCTATCTTCATAGAGTGGATATTCAAATTTTGAATGGTCTTCGCGCCAGAAGAACCACCCTCGACATCCGAAGCACCTTCTTTCTCCGACATCTTTCTCAATGCACCAACAAACGAAGAATAGATCCAAAACTAAAAAGTTAGAGTCCTTACCAAAAGATCCCACATTTATCATCAAACGAAGCCCTAGACGAGCCTCTAAATTGATCTACTCCTCCAACCAAGACAAAAATCCTAGATCTGGAACCTGGGCTCTGATACCACTTGTTGTGCGTAGCAGAAATTTCGACAGAGTTTCTGGTACACGGTAAGAGAAAAAGATCCCAATAAGAATTCCTGTCTCACAAAGGAAACAAGAATCTGAAGCGAATATCTCAACAAGGTGAGATATCGACTCTTCCTCTCATCAGTTCTAGGACTGACTTATCGAGGGATCCTAAAAACTATTACAATGGCTACAAACACAAACAAACCAATTTTACGTGGTTCGGCAAACTGCCGACGTCCACGGGGCAAGGAGGGGGAGATCTACTAATAAAGGGAGAGATACAACTAGGGTTTATAATCTCACAATTAAAACCCTCAAACAAATACTCTCAAACCTCTCACAAAAAGACAGCAGCCAAATACCCAAAGAACAACTACCAAAAACCCAAAGGACAACAGTCTGCGTTTGCCCTCTGTAGCAACGAAACCCTCTTTTACCCAAAAGTCAGCTCCTTGCACTGCTCCTAGTACATCCACCTGCCTATTTCTCCCTTCTGCCTCAACTTCGCACAGCCCTAGGAGAGAATCATCAACTATATATATAGCATATGATATCGGGTAACCGGGTAATCGGCTTTTGTTCGCTGAACTCATCACTTCACGTGGTTTTGCATTCACATGCTTCTCGTGGTCCCCACACACAAGCCAGCAAAGAGAGCCCTTCCCTTCACGTGTTTACCTCCAAAATCCACTAGCTCATGCTAGCTTCCCACACGTCTTGGGCTTTGTCCAGGGAACAAAAGAAATCACCCTCACATTTTATCTTCTCACAACATATATTTAGGGGGAGATTTTAAGATTCTAACTCTCTAACTTGATTTATACTATTTGTCATCATCAAAAAGGGGGAGATATTGATCAGATATGTTTTGATGATACAAATATACTGTGTGTTTGGCTAACTTAGTTATTGCAGTGTCAAAAGATATATCATGATACATCATTCAAGTTGATCAAGCAAGGCTGAGGAGAAATCAAGATAAAGTTAGACTTTATATTGTAACTTTTACTTTATCTTAGATTGTTAAAAGCCTTGATGCACACACACACACACACACACACACACGCTAGACTTAGATTACTAGTGACTTAACCCATAGCCAAAGTTAGTTTCCACTGGTTAATTTGAATATAAGTTAATTAAATTTTTAATCTTGTTTTTTTATTCAAAATTGATTTTACAGACAATAAGTTTTCAACTCATTTGTCAAACTAAATATAGCAAGTCGACTGATGAAGATCTTGAGACTTAACCAAAAGTCTCTGGTCAGTCGACTTATCTGTTCAACAGTCGACTGATCAAGGCCAGATAGTTGTTTAACCAAAACTCTGTGTCATGTGGTGTGTGCTGTGCTGTGTGTGTGTGTGGTGTGTGCTATATGATATATATACACTATATATATATATATAATATATAATATAGTATATATATATATATATATCATATATATATATATATATATACTAAACATTGAGATAATATGGTATGCCTTGCGCCTAAGGGGGACCCCGTTCCCTGAGGCATTCGAGGCGCATAGGCGGGAGGAACACTAGGCAGGGCTGCTGCCATGCCCGCAGCCGAATTGCGTCGGGGCTGCGCGTGAACAGGCGTGAGGAGGCTAGCATAGGGCAAGGGAGCAGTTTAGCAGCGTTGAGGGGAGGAGAAGGGTTAGTGCGCGGCGCGGTGGCTGGGAGCGCTCCGAGCCGGTGAGGCGATGAGCAGAGGAGAGGGAACGACGGGGAAAGCTCCTGACGGCCGATGATGTGGTGTCGGGGCTGACCCCGCGCTGACGGCGGGAGGAAGGCTGGCGTCGGGAGAGGAGAGTAGCCCGGATGTTGATGAGAGAGGAATGCGCTTGTGTTTGGCGACGAGAGGGCAGACGGCGGAGCCGGCGTTTCGCGTTTTGGTAGGCGGCCGTGCTTTTTCTACGAATATTATTTGGGGGCCGGTATTTTTTAGGTGGCCGTAGGTGATTTGCTCCTTTCCCGCCTACCCTTGGCCGGGTCCCTAATGCTTTGGTCACCATAATAATGTACAAAAATTTTGTGCTGGTAGGTGATGCGTGGTTACAATTCCCTCCACCATTCAAATTAAGTGGGACCGACATTCACTTGGTACGTGTGAGTGAGTGCTATAAATGGGATATGCAACCATTTGAATGCAGTGAAGGGCATTATCGCCACCTCGTCACTACCAAGTCATACCCATTTTTCATTATATATATGATATATTTATAGTATATATATATATATATATTATTATATATATTTATATATATATATATATATATATAATATATATATATATATATAGTATAGATATATATATATTATTATATGGAGATTAATGGGTTCGTGTCATAGGATGTAGATTTCCTCATTAACGCGTATGTGTCACAATCCTCACCATCCTTATAAAGTATGAGAGAGAATGGTGAGTTGGTTTGGGATTTGCTGCCTACCTTTATGAGGTATGGTGGGATTGCCTGCCACAGGTTATTGGCGGACAAGAATGGATAATCCTCCTCCTATAGACCAATGTTGTATTACCCATTATCTTTATATATATATATATATATATATATATATACCTATACTATAAATATATATGATTACTTATATATATATATATTTATATATATATTATATATAATTATATATAAATTACTTAATTATATATTATAATATAAATATATATATATATATATATATATATATATATATATATATATATCAGTCGACTGATTCATCATACAGTCGTTTTTAAAATCTTTCTGGCAAGTCGACCGATAATTTTATTAGTCGACTATTTGATAAACAGTCTTTGTTAAAAGCTTCTGGCCAGTCGACTGATGAGTCCACCAGTCGACTGACACAAATAATTTATTACTGTTTTGATTTTGATTTTTAAATTACATTAGTCGTTTATGGCAGTTAAAAATCAAAATTTTGACAGTACATTTGAACTCATAAGTTATGTCTTTTGGTCAGTATATATACTTTTGAGTTCACTTTTCAAAATACAAGCTTTTCATTCAAAATTTTGATATACTCTCAAGTTGAAAATATGAAACTTTTTCTCTCTTGCCTTCAATTTTCAAAAAGCTTTCAAATTGATGTTAGGCATCCAAAGAGAGATCCTATTAGCCACTGAGATTACTTCTTCATCAAGGCTTATAGGGCAAAGTGTTGTAACCTTCTTCAAAGTGTTCTCTCTAGTTTGAGGTAAGGTTCTTCTCTACTTTGAGAAGGGGTCTGCATTTTTGGCAAGGGGATTGTCAAGGTTATGTAAGAGTTATTCTTGTAAGGGAATTCAAGAATTGTGGAAAATCTCAAGCGGGTTGCTTGGGGACTGGATGTAGGTCTGGAGGATCGAACCAGGATAAATCCTCTTCTTTGCGATTGTGTTTTTCTAGTTTGAGTATTATATATCTTATGTGATTATTAATTGTTGATATAATCTTATTCCGCTGCATAGTTATTTTCAATTTCGCAAGAGATTTTTATAAAGCACTATTCACCTTCCTTATAGTGCTTTGAGCATAAAAAAACCACCACCGCCACCCCGCTTCCCCCAGAAAATATAAAAAAAAGAATGAAAGTTAGGAAGTCGCATAGTTAGTTTGGGGAGTTTTATGACAAAACTTAAAGGGGTTTTTATGACATTTTGAAAGTTAAGGGGGCTATCTGAGAAATATCTATCCACATAGTCAGGAGTGTGTAACAGTAGTGCAACCAAAGTTGACATGATTGTACTATTCAATCATTTTGTCATTTTCTCATAAAAAATCATTGCAACAGCAATCAAATTGATAGCTGTTTGAACGAAAAACATGAATACGATCTTTATCTTCGCATAAAACTAACTATTGTAGCATTTACTGTAGCATGAATAGTGAATCTTAAATCCTCCCGTAATTATAGAGGAATAGATATCACCGTAAGTAGACTAGAAATGGCAACAAATTCATGGCAAATGCCACCTGATGACATGAATGTCGAAACATAAACTGAAATGACGCGACAAAATTAATCTTCTCACAGGTATAGAGATCATAGAAAAACAAGTGAATAGAGGATATCTATCCCCATCATATTACCAAATTCAAATCAAAAGTATATTGGAACTAGAAAAATAGAAGTAAATAAGAACTTGAAATTTCACAACCAATATGTACAAGTTCTATGTAAGTGAGATATTTACCCAGGAATTGAAATTCCAAGCAATGAGAGAATAAGCAATAGTCATTGACTTCATTGTTTTCACCATAATGGCATAGTTCTACACAGCTGAGATATTTTTACCCAACAAACTAACAATCAAGCAAAGATTATAATAAAATTGCCAATGTCCTCAATCATAAAATTTTGGAGCAGAGTGCAGACCAAGTTCAAAACAACTTTCCAAACAAAACAACAATATACTATCTTTTATTGCAAACTCTTCCTAGCAAAGTACTTACACAAAAGAGAACAAACCAAGAATGAAGATTCATGTACAAATAGAATAACCAATGACTGTTATACAATACAACAAACAACTATATAGTAATATACCACAGCAATAAAGACTTCGCAAAAGCCAAATCATAGTTACTAAAACTGATACCTTCATTTGTTTACTGTTCTCTTGATTGTCCTTGTGCAGCTCTTAATGAACTTACTGCTTGTTGATGCCATTGAATCCAAATTTGCTTCACTCCTCCTCATCCCCATGATCACTGAGGGAGATGATGGAGTTGATCTAAACCCTCTTGAGGAGCTTTCACAGCTCTCTTCTCTTTTCTCATTGAAACTCCTTCTGTTGTTATCCAATGGCTTCAGCTTCAAGGACTTGCTCTCCTTCTCTGGGTTTATTCGGTTCAGTCTGTTGATAGTCTCAGCAGTTTGATTCTCCTCCTCTCCACCCTTTGCATTCTCCAACATAATTTGTAGCCATTTCTCTACATTCCCTTTGCCTAATTGGTTTCTCTCTTCTTCATCTTCTTCATCTAAAAACTTCTTGTTTGATTCTTTTCCCTCTTCAAAGATTTCGTTAGTCTCTCTGATTGCTAACTGCCCAAGCTTATGATTGAGTAGCTTGTCATCATCTTCACATTCTTTTTGTCGAGTTCTTTCTTCAAGAATCAAGGCTTTGCTCTTCTTTCCCTTATGATTGAGTAGCTTGTCATCACCTTCACATGCTTTTTGCCGAGTTCTTTCTGCAAGAAGCAAGGCTTTGCTCTTCTTTCCCTTATTCTTACGAGTCAAGTTTTCAATGTCTTCATGCTCTTCTTCTTCTTCTTTTTCTTCTTCACTGAGAGAATGTCCAGCTTCAGAGGCCTTCTGCTCTTCCTCTAGAAAAACCCTGAGCTCCTTCTTCAATGGTGTCCAACCCTTTATGCAATCTTCGTTCCTCTCCTCAAACAGTGTGTTGTAGTCCATTCTGGATCTTTTCCTTGCTTGCTGCAACTCCCAGCAAGGCCTTGATATCTGTTTCTCGAGCTCATCTCTTTCATTAAATTTTCTCCGCAGTTTGTTCTCTGAAGTATCACACATTGCTCTTTGGGCCTCTAATCGAGCCATTAGAGCACTTGTTGCAGCTTGATTCAGCCTTAGTTGCTCTTTGTAGACCACACTCCTACAAATCAACAAAATTTGTTTAAATTATGAAGAGTGAGTGTTTCTTAGATTACAATTATTATCACTGATGCACATTTTAAAATGCAACCAAAATTTGTAGAAATTACGCATAAATAGTACTGAAACCATGTACTGTATATTTAAGATTCAATTGTTATTACTGACGCACATTCCTATATATCAACAAAATATTACAAATTATGAGTAACTAGTAAAAATCATGAACAGGGTATTTATGTTCTTACTTCTTACTGATGCAGACTCTGAAATGTCAACAAACTTTATAGAAATTATGAATAAACGGGCATATGCTTTTGATTGCTCTTACTGACGCACACTCCTAAATATCAACAAAAGTTATGTAGACTTTATAAACAAATACTGAAATCATGAGCAGAGTACTTAAGATTTCAACTGTTATTACTACTATCATATATCAACAAAATTTGTAGAAATTATAAATTAAAAGTAGCCAAATTATGAAGCGGGTATTTAAGGTTCATACTGTTCTTACTGGTGCACACTCCTAAATATCAACAAAGTTTATATAGAATTTATGAATAAATAGTACCGATATCATAAATAGTACTGAAATCATGAACATATACTTAAGATTGCAACTGTTCTTATTGATGATGTACACAACATTTATCAACAAAATTTGTCAAAATTATGAAGATATAGTACAGAAATCATGAACAGGGAATTTAAGATCTCAAGTATTCTTACTGATGCATCGCGTCTCTGATCATCTTTTCTAGCAAAGCTCTATAAGAAGCCTGAGCTTCTGATAACCTCCTGCACTTCTCAACCCTTCGTCTGCGCTTTATAAGCAAAGCCTCTAGATCTTGAAGAGCAATCCTTTCTTCTTCATTCTTCTGTCTGAACTCATTCAGTTCATCCTCCAACTGACTCATCTCAGCTTCTTTCTTCTTGCTGTCTCCTCTCTGCCTTAGTGAATCTCTGGCCCGTGTAATTGTAAGATAAGGGTTATTAGCAAATTCATCTGATTCTGGTGGTTCATTCTCTTTCGATGTATTTGGCGTCATTCTTTGAACTAAAAAAAATACACAAGTATTAATGAGGAAACATATGTAGTGAGAGGAAGTCATTAAGTTTGTTTTTTTTTCTGCGAACCTAAATAAGGTGAATTAGGTCGGAGAGATTTATTCATATTGACAGGCTTCAACACTGAAGACTCCGAGTTTCTGTTTGTCGATACAAGGGCAGCTGGAGCTAGGCCTAATTTCTGCTTCATCTCCACGAAATGTTGAGGGAAGCTATGGGAATCTACAGCTTGCAGAGCATTTAGCTCCTCACAGCTCCCATCCAAAAACAAGAACGAAAATGCTCTATTCCTGCAAATGGAAAATTGTACATTTGGATAAATATATCATCAGAAAAAAAAAAAGGTTTAAGATGGTCTAGCTGAGTGCAGATAGACATATTTTGGATCTTTTTCTTATCTACCTTTTCCGTTTACTCATTGAGGTTAAAATTTTGAAAGTAGGAAATCGCGTAATTGAATGGTGACATAGTTTACTGGAATTGAAGATTAGTAATATACATACACCTGATTTTCAATCCATTGACGGTCAGCGGAAATAGTATTAAAAAGGCAAAAAGGTAAAAATTAACGTGGAAAAAAAATCTAAGAAAAATAGCAACACTGAAGCTCCACACATATGTAGCTAACCTGAAATCTAGATTTTTGGAGGCAAATACGGATAAGAATTGGTTCACTGAGATTCCCAGCTGAAGATCCCACCAAGGAACAAGGAAATCCAGCTTGTTTTTCTTCTTTCTACACACTTGCCATTGTAGAATCCTCAAATTGCTTGGCACAGTTCTCCCTCCTCCTACGAAGTTCAAAAAAATAACTCCCATTTATAATCAAAATAAACCCAAGTAAAAGAGAGAGAGAGAGAGAGAGAGAGAGAGAGAGAGAGAGAGAAATAAAAGGAAACAAATTTAGTCCAAAATGTAATTGACTTACTTGAGCAAGGGAACCAGTGATCAACATCCCAAGCCAATGGAGATGCAGAATCAGCGTGAAGATAAAGCACATTCCCAAATGGGTCTACACGAAACAGCTCCGGATCAAACCCTGCATTCCTGAAATAAAAAACCCCCAAAAAACATAAAATTCTAATCAAAACGTAACAAATTTTAAAAGACCCATATTTTCTAAATAGAGATCTTACCCAAGATGATCAAGCTGCTTCCATAGAAGATTCACAAACCCTCTTGGGTTCGGAGCAGGCTTCGCATCGGGATCGATCACAGGAAACATTTGATTCAAATCCTTAGCTCTCAAAGCCTAGAAACAAAAGAAGAAAGTACTTTTTAGAGAAATTGAGCAATACTAAGATTTTTTTGTCTTTTGGTTTATAAACCCACCCACTTCCAAAATCATTGTTCAACACAAATACGCAAACGCATAGGTCAGAGGAAATTTTGGGTTTACTGACAAAAAAAACCCAAAAATAAATTGATGGGGTTTTGGGGATTATGTACCTCTTGGGGCTGGAGAGTGTAGGGGATGAAGGAGAGAGGAGGGCCATTTAGGAATGGGCTTGTACTGCTGTTGCTATTGATGTTGCAGAGCTTGGAGTATGCTTTCGGGTAGCCGAGGTTCTGATCAATGGCCATCTCTTCTTCAGTGAATTTGGGGATTTTTGCTGCTGCCATGGCTGTAGATTCTAGAGAGAAAGAGAGAGAGAGAGAGAGAGAGAGCGGAGAGAGAGAAAGGGGGGATTTTGGTTTGAATTTGAGAGAAAGTGGAAAAGGAGAGGGTGTGTTTGTGAGCTGAAGAGAAGTAACGGTCCAATTTCTGTTGGAAAATAGCCGTTGGAATGTAAATCTTTTGATTTTTCTCTGGATTTAAGTTTGCAGTGCCTTTAAATTGTGATGCCACGCTGGAGATGGAAGAGTTGGACCCACATGGAGCCTGTGTAGGTCCAGGTTTTATTGTGGGTTTGAAATGAAGTGGCGCCCGTTCATGAGATCAGAGGTCTTGTCCGAAACAGCTGTCAGTTTGAGCTGGTCATGTTCTTGTAACAGTCGGAATCATTGAATTTGCTATTAGGTCCCCAAAACATATAGAGTATTTTTAAGTTTCAATTGGGGGATCGAACATTACTTCATTAACTTTTTTGCGGATGAAATATTAGACATACATTTTTTTCATACAAGTCTAGACCTGATTTGGAGGAGGCGAGAGATAAGAATGTTGCTGATGATTTTGCCCACAGTGGTGGAGGCAGAACCTTTTTTTAATTTTTTTTTTTTGATAAAATACAACCATTGTACCGTACATCAATCAAATACGACAATGAAGTAATAAGAACAAAATTTACCATTAGATTGACAATATACTATAAATTATGTTATTAATCTTATTTTGAACAATAATAAGAAGAAATAATTGCAAAAGTACATGAACATAGAACACTCATTCCAAATATCTACTTTTTAACGTAAAACTTCATGAAATCGGAAGAATCCCACTTCACCATTCTACTATTACATGGAAAATTACATGAAAATCGAAACCCATTTATGTTCTACTTAAAATACAAAACAAAAAATTGCATGAAAAAAGATGTGTAGAATAGTGGGTATGAGGTGACGGATCCTTTTGCTAAATGAGCTACGAAGATATAAAGAATCGTAAAGTGCACCTTTTGATGTGACAAGTAAGGTGGGTCTCACTACATGGTTATCTCTTAGTAGCTCATTTAACATAATGCTGCACCTTTTGATGTGACAAGTAAGGTGGGTCTCACTACATGGTTATCTCTTAGTAGCTCATTTAACATAATGCGAATCGTAAAGTGCACCTTTTGATGTGACAAGTAAGGTGGGTCTCACTACATGGTTATCTCTTAGTAGCTCATTTAACATAATGC